ATCATTGACTTCTCCTGATATTCATGGAAGATAGAACAGGACCTGAAGAGCCTTGTCGTTATTTGAATATACGTCCGTATCCAAATAATCATACATATAAGAAAGTATACAGATGTGTTTGCAGTCTTCTATTGAGGAATTTACTAAATCCGAGAATACTGAATTAAAGTAAATTTCCTGAAATGATCCCTAACCTAAATTTCTTATAGAAAATATTTCCGTTTATCCGCAATGGTGAGCCGAATTTTGCGGAAATAACCTATCTATCATACGCCTCCTTCCTCAGGACGCAGGGTTTATATTGCCTTTGCATCGGCGTCAAAACACTGGGATGGTCATCAGTGCACTGTAACTCAGGTCCTGCGTAAAGACCACAAAGCTGGAACAAATCATAATAGAGAAATTCCTACGAGCCACTATAACATATTTATAAAGGGTAGCAGAGATTTTTGTTATTCATCAACCCCTCCCTGAAGGGTGTCGACATCTTGAAAAGTAGAGTACGAATTTGACTGAGTAAGAACATTCGGTATATATTTATCAATTAATAATAATAAAAATCCAAATGTCTGAAAATTAAAATCTTGCGAAAAAAAAGCTTTGTATAAAGATAAAAGGACGACTGGCCTACCCTGCTTACACTATGCCTCTTTCGAGTTTCGACATCTCTCCCTCCCTCCTTCAAATTTATCGCAACCGTCTTTCTTGAAAAGTAGGACAAAATGTGGAAAGGAACCGACGAATACTGGATTGATCTTTTACTATATTTGAAAATAATTTCTCATCATAGCAGGTATGTAGTGCAATAGCACTGCTGTTAATTTTCGTCAAGTAGGTTCTAAAAAAGCTTACGCAGGTTATGCACTTTTGGAACTTTGTTTAAAATGTAGAAAAACGTATAAAATTAAGTATTTTAGCTCGACAATACCAGTGTATTGCTTCTTGGAAAGATGGCGATTTGCTCTACTTATACACGATCAGAGACAAAGATACGCGTTCATGCTTTGTAAGTATAAATTTCGCATATTTATTTATTTTCTAAATGGCGGCAGCATAGGTGCATCTAAGGTATGTAACTATACTCATTGAACTGTCAGGTTGCGAAGTACTTGTCAGGACGTTTGTATCTTTCTTCCGTTGGTGCACATTGCACAAGAGGATACAACTTTGCCGACAACTCTGAAAAAACTATTGTGCTACAGGA